AAATTCAAGAGTCAACGCAATCATAGGTTTGAACATTGTTTTCAATTTAGACTTGTATATATATATACTTGTTTATATTTTTTCGTTTTGGGCTTGTATTATATTTGTCTTCGGGTTTATATGATCCTTTCATCCTATTTCGGCTCTTCAAAATTCAAGAGTCTATCCTAAATTGAGGTAAATGATATGGCCTTCCAAATACCGTTTCGATTCCTAACATCACTGAAGAGACATTAATTGTCGAAATCCGGATATGGTGTACTAATTTTTGCACCTTTTGTTTGCGGTATACCATCTTTTCCGCAAGTTTATTAGTCCCCTACTGATGAAGTCGAAGGGGACTTTAGGTTTGCACTCTGTCCGTCTGTCTGTCTGTCTGTCCATCTGTCAGTCCGGCAAATCAGTTTTCCACACTTTTTTTCTTCGTGCTTGAAGATATCGATTTGATATATGGTTTATTGATTTATCATGACAAGTTACAGGTCAAGTTCAATTTTCACAATTTTAGCTTTTCTCTTTGTTCAATTAAAGCCCTTTCTCTAGAATTAAATTTTTGATGAAATACTTATTAATTAGTAGATTTCTGTTCAAAGGGAAATAATTCATATTTTAAAAGACAAAATGACATTTTGGATTTTTTTACTTTTCTTTGGTAAATTGTTTGAAGAATTTAGTGGTAGGTTTGTTTGTCATTCTTGAAGATATTGATTTGATAATTAGTTCATTGTTGTATATAGTTTTATCATGACAAATTACAGATCAAGTTGGAATTTTGTTCCAGTCTGATAATTTTGTGCAGAGTTATGGTCCTTGGACATAGAAAATTCATTTAAATAATCAGTTTTCAACAGTTTTTTTCGTCATGCTTGAAGAATTTGACTTGATATTTTTATGAAGTTTACACCATGACAAGTTATAGATCAAAGTTAGAATTTTGTTCCATTACAATGAATTTGTAACCGGTAGGGGACTATGTATTGCCATGCAATACTCACAGAATGCTTGTTGTTTTCTGTTTGATATTAAATTAATATTTAAGATCCATTTTGTTACATCTGGTGATCATTTTATTTGGCAATTGCCAATGGCAGTCAGCAGGGTTTAAGAACATCCATTGTTCGACCTGCTAGTCAAATGCGTTTTGTTAAAATTATAATACTTTGTCACTTTTTTGGTCTTTTGGAAAATGTTGTTTGTGCTGTATTTAGACCCCTTTCACAAATTTTTGCGGTTGTATAATGTTTATCACGTTGTCAGCGTCGTCGTCATCCAAAGACATTTGGTTTCCAGACAATAACTTTTAGAATAAGTTTATGGATCTCTATTAAATAGTTCCACAAGGTTCCATACCATAAAAGAAAGCTTGAGATTGATTTTGGGGGATATTGTCCTAACTGTTGAGGAATTAGGGGCCAAACACAAGCATTTTTCTTGTTTCAGGACAATAACTTGTGTATAAGTGTATGGATCTCTATGAAATTGTACCACAAGGTTCCATACCTCAAACGGAAATTTGGGATTGATTTTGGGGGTTATGGCCCAAACCGTTTAGGAATAAGGGGCCATAAAGGGGCCAAAAAAAACTTAGGATTTTTTGGTTTCCAGACAATAACTTGAGTATAGTCTATGGACTTCTATGAAATTGTACCACAAGGTTCCATAACTCAAAAGGAAATTTGGGATTGATGTTGGGGGTTATGGCCCAAACTGTTTAGGAATAAGGGGCCATAAAGGGGCAAAAAAATCTAGGATTTTCTGGTTTCTGGACAATAAATTGAGTATAATAGAAAAACAAAGGATATGGGGTATCCATCCATGACACAAAATCAGTACATGCACAGCAAAATAACACACAAAAAGCAAAGGAACAGAGCTTTTATTGCTGTTCTTCATCTTAAAGTCACAGTGAGGCCTTCAACACGGAGCAAAAAACTCTCACCTTACTGCAAGTTTAAGACGGCCCCTAGCACTGGCTTGAGATGAATGCTTTGCAAAAATAATTTGGATAGACTTTGTAAGATGTAACACTACCCAATTGGGCCCATCAAAAAAGAACATACTGGAAGGTAGTACATATTTAAAACAAAATAGTTCCTACGCATAAGTCTATGGATCTCTATGAAATTGTACCACAAGGTTCCATACCAAAAAAAGAAGGTTGGGATTGATTTCGGGAGTTATGGCCCTAACTGTTTAGGAAAAAGGGGCCAAAAAACAATACTTTTCTAATACTTTGTATAAATTGCTTATTTCTTGACCAATTTCAATGCGGTTTAACTCAAATTTTGAATTCTTGGGGTTCTTTGATATGCTGAATCTAACTGTGTATTTAGATTTTTGATTCAGCCATGCTGGATCTATGCGATCACTCTGGTTTTAGAGATGGTGCAGAATACTAAGTTGAAGACATATCATGAAACTAATGTGTTTTTATGACTTGCAGAAACTTTATACACCATTTTTATCATTAACTGCCAACTTTTGACATGTTATTAGCCCTTAAATTAAGAAAAGATTGGTCAAACAACCTTTTATTTTAGATATACACTTGCATATAGTTCCTTTCTAAATCCAATAATAATAATAATTTACTAATCATGAATTAATGTGAAAAAGTAATATACATCAATATAATCAATTGATAAGAATTTTGAAAGTATTTTATTAGTATCTTATGCTTGTGTAAGTTATTGGATAAAATTTGGGTCACTCAAGATGTGTATTGATATATCAAAGTTGATTCCCACACTCTTTTGTAATGCTATTACTCCAATTCTTCCCTTATTGATACTATACCAGTATAATTATCAACTGTCATGATTATACAAAACAATTATACTCAAAGGTGTAAGTATTAATTGGAAACAACCTTAGTCTTAATTCACCACAGTTAATATCTCATGACCTGTTACATAATTAAATAGACACAATTTATTACACACCTAACTGAATACACAAATTCTTGACCTCAATAGTAAACCTACAAATGTATTATTTATTTTGATGTACACTACATGAAAATATTCTGTCAATTTTGTTAGCTAGCTGAATGATTAATCAAATGTGTTTTTTTTCAAAGAAAAGACAAAAAATGAAAAAATATGCCCACAAAAATGCAAGCAAATTTTATTTCTCTTGTAAAATCTGTGTCATTATCATCTGACATAAATCAATAATCAAGTTCTAATTAATTAGTTACAATTATCAGGAATTTGGTTGAAACATTAAAAAAAATTGCATTAAAACTCTTACCTGAGCATTTTCTGCAATAAAAATTATTTGTTTGTTCTCCATTTATATCCCATTATATTGCTATTCAACAATAATTGGAAATACATGTATCTCGGCATTAGGTATTTGTACATTCAAATTTGAATACAGGAAGATTATTTTTCTTAATGAAGAATGAACAACAATTGATAAAAAATAGTTATATTTTTTTTAATTTTTGTTGTTGAGAAAGTGCATTCATTCTGGTCAAAACCATTAAATTGCAATTATTTATCAAAAAAAATCTGACAGTGTCTGAAAATGAAATATCAATATAAATATTAGCATCAATATTGCAAAATTCCCTATCTTTGGACAATAACATAAAAATTTTACAGTAAGATTATGGAAATGAAAAGGGGAAAAAATATTGAAAAAAGTATGGTCAGAAAAAATATCAGACTAGCTATCAATATGGCTGGATCACAACATCGACGATGCTTTGATTAATTTTGTGGCCCGTTTTCAAATTATTCCACATTATAGGTCCAAAGGGTCCAAAAGTAAACTTTATTTGATTTAGAAAAAAAAATGAGTTTTTGTGGTTTGATATGCTGAATCTAACCATGTTCTTAGATTTTTTTTATTTTAGGACCTATTTTTCAAATTGGTCCTCAAGAAGGTCCATATATATAGGGTCCAAAATTAAAATTAGTTTGATTTTAACAAAGATTGAATTCATGGGGTTCTTTGATATGTTGCATTTGAACATGTATTTAGATTTTTGATTTTATGCCCAGTTTTCAAATTGGTCCAAATCGGGGTCCAAAATTAAACTTTGTTTGGTTTCAACAAAAATTGAAGTTATGGGGTTCTTTGATATGCTGAATCTAACCCTGTACTTAGATTTTGGATTTTTGATCCTGTTATCAAATTGGTCCATATTGAGGTCCAAAGGGTCCAAAATTAAACTTTGTTTGATTTCATCAAAAATTGAATTCTTGGGATTCTTCGATATACTGATAGGTAAATGTACAATTTCAAATTTTTTAAGTTCTTAGATCACATACATTCTGTGTCAGAAACTTTGCTATGTCAAATATTTAATCACAATCCAAATTCAGAGCTGTATATTGCACAATTAATAGAAATTGTAGGTACAGTCGTAGTTAAAAATAGATTCAGCATCAATTCTAATTTTGGAGAAGAAATTATGAATGAATATAGTTTGAAATTTACTGTTCATTATTAGAATAGATATTTTGGAAATTAATTAAATGCAAGTTTTATAGATTTTTTTAAAGACATTGTATTAATGAGAAATGACATTTGGAAATTGTTTTTTTTTTGGTTTTTTTTGGTAAATTTTATGTTTGAAGAACTCTGTTCTAGGTTTGTTTGTTATTCTGAATAAATTAATTTTCAGTATGCTATATATATTTTTTTGATGAAGCAAACCCCTGTAAAAACTTAGCTTATATTGTCCAGTTGTAACTTAATCAATCAAATTCTTGGTGTACTTGGATATGCTGAATCTAACCGTGTATTTAGATTTTCCAATTTCCAATTTCTCAGTTCTTTGACCATATTCATTCTGTGTCAGAAACCTATGCTGTGTCAAATATTTAATCACAATCCAAATGCAGAGCTGTATCAAGCTTAAATACTTACCCAAACTGTTCAGGGTTTGACCTCTGCGGTTGAATCAAGCTGTGCCTTGTGGAGCATTTTATTTTTTTTATTGTAATTTTTATGACATCGATCTTATTTGTGTATTTGTTTCGTTTCAGTTTGCCATTGGAACATTAATGGATGACTACTTAGGTATGTTGATGTTTTAACTTTTCTCCTGGGAATTAAAAAAAATGTGGCATTTTGGGCAGATGCACATGAACTATCCAATGAATAACTGTGAAACCCTTTAATGAACTATTAAGTTAAATAGGCCACACACACTAGCCATAATCAGCCATTGTCAATAATTGCAAATGCTGAGTATAGATTTTGGCTCAAATAATCGTTCATTTAAAAAGTTGTTGACAATATTTTCTGAATAGTTCAGAAATGCATTTTTTATACGACTGCAAAAATTAATTTTTTGTTGTTGTCATATATTGGTATCATGTCATCGTCGTTGTCGTCCGAAGACAGATAGTTTCCGGATAATAACTTTAGTATACGTAAATAGAAATCAATAAGATTTTAACACAAGGTTTATAACCACTAAAAGAAGGTTGGGATTGATTTTAGGGGTTATGGTCCCAACTGTTTAGGAATTAGGGGCCAATAAAGGGGTCCAAATAAGCATTATTGTATTTTTAAGTCAATAACTTGTGTTTAAGTGTATGAAACTCTCTGAAATTATACCATAAGTTTCCATACGACAAATGGATGGTTAGGATTGGGTGGGGGTGGGGGTTATGGCTTTAACCATTTAGGAATGAGGGGCAAAAAAAAGGGGGAAAAACAAGGTATTTTCTGGTTAAAGGACAATTAAGACAATTTTAAAGCAGTCAAAGGGAGGTAATCCAATCCCATTTAAAAACAACAATGTTTGATTACCTCCCTTACACTGCTAGTAAATTATTTTTGTCAATTTTTTTTTAGAAGTTACAATTAATTAATATTAATTTTAGCCATGACTGTGTATGTCATTTTATATTTTAAGACTTTCATGATGTATTTAAAAGGGTAATTATGGTTGCAAACTTTATTAGAAATTTGAATTGAGATAATGGCTATATCTTGAGGGAAAGAATTTTTTTTGGAAAAAGGGAAAGGGGGAGGTGAAAAAAATGTTTATTTTTGGGGGGGGACTATTTTTTCTCTCATTTCTGATTTCAGAAATTAAAAAGAAAATTTCTTCAAATATTTTTTTTTGGGGGTTAATATACAACAGGAAAGTGTATTGCACAAAAGTAAAAAAACAGGGTAATTTTTTTCTTGCACAAAAGCAAAAAATTGAATATATATTCAAATCATATAACCAATTTTTAAGTTCTTTGACTACAGTTATTCTGTGGCAGAAACCTATTATGTGTCAAATATTTAATTACAATCCAAATTCAAACCTGTATCAAGCATGACTATTGTGTCCATTTTTGCCCCAACTTTTCAGGGTTGGACATCTGAGGTCGTATCCAGCTGCGCCCAGCGAAACAATTTATTTTTTCTCATGATTTGCATAGTATAGTTAGTAAGTTAAGTATGTCAAATGTTTATTTTCAACTTGGAGATGTTTTTTTTTCCCCCAACTAATTGCTTTGAAAGCCAATTTATTGTTTTCTTTCGCCCTCCATGTAAATCACCAGGACTATTAAATTGAAACTGGGTCATATAAAAGTGTTGAATGCCTAGTATTTATGAACTATATGAAAGCTGACTATAATTGTATCCTAGCATTAACATGAAAAATAGTTATAAATCACAAGTTGACATCACTACAAATGTCACACATCAGACACAAGGAAATCAAGATAGAAAATTTACTCAGAGGTGTTCTAAATAGTTCTTTAGAATTAACCTAGAGGTGTTTCTAATGGCTTTGGAACAAAAAATGACATCATTAAAGCTTTCAGATTGTCAGAACTGTGTTTATATCTCCTTTGAGAGCTATAAAACTTTCTGTTTTATATGTAATGATTAGAAGATTTGACTTTACTGCAGCTTTGCCTTTGAGAAAACTTGAAAATTGTGCAATCATAGGGAAATGGATATTGGTTCAGTGCAGAAACCTAAAAGCTATTGTCAGAAATTTTACTCAACTGTCATTTTCAAATGCTGTAAAGTAAGACTTTAATTACCCTTTCATTTAAAATTTCCTGATTTCTATTATTAAAAAGTTAATATATTTTTTTCTACGTAAAAGGATTGAGTTAATAGGTGAAAGAATATCTTAAAAAAAATGGATTACTCTGACTTATCATAAATATATAAATCCATAGATCTATGCTTTTATTAAGTTAAAATGGTGGATAAAATAAAAACAGTTTATTTTATTAAAATAATAATTGTGGGCTATACCACAAAACAAAAACAGAACCTGAAGAATTAGATGTCACTGAAAGTAAGATTGAGAATCCTCATGCTATAGATAAAGTTCACTTATGTTTTATTATGTATTTTTTCATAAACCCCCTACCCAAAGTAAGAGATACAAGAAAACATGTTTTATTTTGAAAAATGTCAGATGGCTGTTAAGGTTAAAAGTAAGTGGGTATTTTGATACGATTTCAAAAGAATAACATTAATAACTTGTAAAACCTTAATTATAAATTGTGAATATTTCTTATTGAGTTAATACTGCTGATTTGGTAGAATATCATATCACCATTTGGAGCATACTATCCTGCAAGTGTCCAGTTGATAACAAATCACATTACAAGTGTATGTTTTGGAAAATATAATACTGCAAGTTTCAATTTGAAAGCATATTGTAAAAGAGTGAATTTTGTCCATTTGAAGCATATAACAGAGGCGGATTTAGGGGGAAGTGGGGCTTTTTACATGTTCCAGTCCTAACGATGCCTAGTTTGGGGCCCCTCTTTTTCAAAATCCTGGATCCACATCTGTATTATACTTTTAAAATGCCCATTGGAAGCATATTATACATAAGTATCCATTCGAAGCATACTATCCTGCAAGTGTCCAATTGATGGCATATCACATTGTAAATGCCTGTTTCACATCATATGATACTTCAAATGTCCTCTATTTGACAGTGTTTATCAAGTGATTTATTTCAAAGACATTTAGGAATGACTTAACTTTGTAGTGATAGACAGAGTATAAAATAATCACTATCTGAGAAAAAAAGTTTTAATTTATTTTCTTGAACAAAACCATTTGTAATAGTGTTAAAGTGAATCACTTATAAAGGACAGTATAAGTTGTCATGCTTGGTACTAAATCAATGTCAGACAGAAAAGTTAAAGAAGCAATTTCCAACTAATCGTTAAATCAAAGTTAAGAAAATGTATCTTCTCCACTGGTGAAACTTGCTTTAATTATTGATAATAGTCTGCACTTTATTTCAGATCTTTTCTATTTTAAATAGATTTTCACTTGAAATGGAAGTTATCGTACTTTTATGGAATCAGACAAAAGATAACATGAAAAAGAATGCCATATAGTGTGGTTTTATTTGTTAATGTTAGAATTGACTTTCTAGTTATTAATCAACTGACATTGTGAAGACCTTTGTCTGGCCAGATTAATTGTTCTGATATCCAAGTCAAGCCAGATTGCCAATATTTATTGAATGATTTACAATCATGGTTAATGATTCATTACACTTTACTAAGTACCAAATCTTATCTCTTGTCCCTAAGAATATTACCACTATCATTGTAATAGAATACGTTTTTTTCAGTACATAATATTTTTTTTTCATAAATAAGTGAATGAGTAAATATTAATTTGGTATTATATGTATCAATATAGTCGTTTTTGGCCGTTAATGCTTATCTAATATAGTTGGTACCATCATGCAGGATAAACCAACATATAAAATAAAAAATGCAGTAAACATCTGTCATGTAAAATACTTAACCATTTGTATACAGGACAGGAGCCTTCCCAATAGGAATGTTTCATTGTAGCTTACTGGTGTCTAGTGTGGGTTTTTGCCCTTTGCATTAAACCAAATCCTTGTGACACCAGATACTTTCAAGCTTGCAAAACATTTGATCTATTTATATTTATTATGCCCCCGCCGTAGCGGAGGGGGCATTAAGTTTTACCCTTGTCCGTGTCTGTATGTCCCAAAATTGGTTTCTGTTCTCTAACTTTAGTTTGCTTCAACCAAATATTATGATACTTATACACAATGCTCATTACCACAAAGCACAGATCAAGTTTGAATTTTGGTGGCGTCACTTTTACCGTTCTAGAGTTATGCCCCTTTACCCCCCAAAAAATGCTGAATTTTTTATTTCTGTTCTGTAACTTTAGTTTGCCTCAACCAAATGTTATGAAACTTATGCATAATGCTTATTACCACAAAACAGATCAAGTTTGAATTTGGTGGCGTCACTTTTACCGTTCTAGAGTTATGCCCCTTTACAAATGGAAAAATTGCTGAATTTTTATACGCCCGTTTACGGGATGTATTATGGTATACCGTTATCCGTCTGTCCGTCCGTCGTCAACATGTCCAATTAACCAATTTGCATAAAACTTTAGTGAATCGTTTATATCTATTGACGTGAGCTCCCTTTGGTTTTCCATAAATTTTAGATTTTACGTTTCCAAGTTATGGGGTTTTATTTATTAAAAAAAAGAAGGGTTTTTCCAGTTTTCAGACAATAACTCAAGAATGCTTTCACCAACTTGCAAGAAATTGTGGTGAATTGTTTATATCTATTGACATGAGCTCCCTTTCGATTTTTATATATTTTACATATTTCATTTCTGAGTTATTGGGTTTTATTCATTAAAAAAGGGGGGATTTTCCAGTTTTTGGACAATAACTCAAAAATGCTGTCAGCAATTCTCATGAAAACTTTGGTGAATTGTTTATATCTATTGATGTAAGCTCCCTTTACATTTTCATAAATTTCTAATATGACATTGAGAATTAATTGAACTTTAATTGTTTATAGTCTGACAACAGATTTACTAAGTATTGCGCAACAGCACAGTGTATTGCACAACAGCAAGAAATCTTTAATTGAATATAAATTCAATTCATATAACCAATTTTAAGTTCTTTGACTACATTTATTCAGAAACCTATAATATGTCAAATATTTAATACAATCCAGATTCAGACCTGTATCAAGCTTGAATATTGTGTCCATTTTTGCCCCAACTGTTCAGGGATGGATCTCTGCGGACGTATCCAGCTGCGCTCAGCGAATCAGTTTATTCATTTCCATTCTCTTACTTAAGTTTGCTTCAACCAAATGTTATGAAACTTATACACAATACTTATTACCACAAAACTAAGATCAAGTACAAACTTGGTTAGCGTCACTTTTACCATTCTTGAGTTATGTCCCTTTATAATATTATAAGTGTTATACTTTTCAAAATATTGTGCAGAATTTATCTTTGTTTCAAATAAAGAAATACTTGGCATGAGTAAAGTTTTATCCTGTCCAGTACTACAGTAAAAATTTCACATATCATTTCATTGCATATAAGATAATGACCATCACTGGAAGTTAACCAATCAAATTTTCACCCCTTTTTATACGACTGCAAAAAATTTTTTGGGATTGTATAATCGTATGATGTCGTCTTTGTCTGCGTCGTCGTCGTCCGAAGACACATTAGTTTCCGACAATAACTTTATTTTAAGTGAATGGATCTCTATGAAATTTTTTAAGAAGGTTCAATACCACAAAAGGAAGGTTGGGATTGATTTTGGGGATGATGGTCCCAACTGTTTAGGAATTAGGGGCCCAAAACAAGCATTTTTCTAGTTTCAGGATAATTAATAACTTGTGTATAACTATTTCGATTGCTCTGAAATTGTACCACAATGTTTAATACCACAAATAGAAGGTTGGGATTCATCTTAGGGGTTATGGGGCCAACAGTTTAGGAATTAAGGGCCAAAAAGGGGCCAAAAACAAGCATTTTTCTAGTTTCCAGACAATAACTTGTGTGTTAGTGTATGGATCTCTCTGACATTGTAACACAAGGTTCCATATCACAAAGGGAAGTCTTGGATTGAGTTTGGGGGTATTATTATTGCCCAAAACATGTAGGAATTAGGGGCCAAAAAGGGCCAAAAAGAAGCATTTTTCTAGTTTCCAGACAATAACTTGTGTTTAAGTGTATGGATCTCTCTGAACTACAAGGTTCCATACTACAAAGGAAAGGCTTGGATTGAGTAATGGGGTTACAAAAAGTTTGGGGGGGGGGGGGGTTCCAATTTTTTTAGGGGATTCATATTTTTTTTTTTTTAATTTTTGAAATTTCGAATTTTTGAAAATTTTCAAGAAGAAATCTTCCATTGCACAGTATTACGCAATAGATTTGAAAGATCTTTGACCACATTTATTTTGTGTCAGAAACCTATATTATGTCAAAAATTTGATCGCACTCCAAATTCAGACAGTATCAAGCTTGAATATTGTGTCCAAATTTGCCCAAACTGTTCAGGGTTTGACCTCTGCGGTCGTATCAGGCTGCGCTCAGCGAAGCATTTTATTTTCCTGTGTACCAGCTTTAGTAACCATGTAACCTCAAGTTTCCAAAATATTCTATAAAAACACCAAATGAAAAAACAGTGGTGCTTTGAAACACCCAAGATATATGTTTATGACTCAGAAATTTTTTACTGCAATGAAATGTAGGATTTATTTCCTACAACTGTCAAATTCAAGGGAATATTTTTTTCGACCCTTTTTAGCTCACCTGGCCCGAAGGGCCAAGTGAGCTTTTCTCATCACATGGCGTCCGTCGTCCGTCGTCAGCGTTAACTTTTTACATTTTGAACTTCTTCTAGAGAACCACTGAATGGAATGAAACCAAACATGGCATGAATGTTCCTTATGAGGTGCTGACCAAGTGTTGTTACTTTGTAGCGAATCCATCATCCAAGATGGCCGCCAGCGGGGGACTTAGTTTAACATAGGACCCTATGGGAAATACATACAAATGTCTTCTTTTAGAGAACCACTGAATGGAATGAAACCAAACATGGCATGAATGTTTCTTATGAGGTGCTGACCGAGTGTTGTTACTTTGAAGCCGATCCATAAACCAAGATGGCCGCCAGCGGGGGACTTAGTTTAACATAGGACCCTATGGGAAATACATACAAATGTCTTCTTTTAGAGAACCACTGAATGGAATGAAACCAAACATGGTATGAATGTTCCTTATGAGGTGCTGACCGAGTGTTGTTACTTTGAAGCCGATCCATAATCCAAGATGGCTGCCAGCGGGGGACTTAGTTTAACATGGGACCCTATGGGAAATACATACAAATGTCTTCTTTTAGAGAACCACTGAATGGAATGAAACCAAACATGGCATGAATGTTCCTTATGAGGTGCTGACCAAGTGTTGTTACTATGAAGCTGATCCATAATCCAAGATGGTCGCCAGCAGGGGACTTAGTTTAACATTGGACCCTATGGGAAATACATACAAATGTCTTCTTTTAGAGAACCATTGAATGGAATGAAACCAAACATGGCATGAATGTTCCTTATGAGGTGCTGACCAAGTGTTGTTACTATGAAGCCGATCCATAATCTAAGATGGCCGCCAGCAGAGGACTTAGTTTAACATAGGACCCTATGAGAAATACGTACAAATGTTTTCTTTTAGAGAACCATTGAATGGAATGAAACCAAACATGGCATGCATGTTCCTTTTGAGGTGCTGACCAAGTGTTGTTACTTTGAAGCTGATCCTTCATCCATGATGGCTGCCAGATGGGGACAATGTTTAACAAAGGACCCTATGGACAATACATACAAATGTCTTCTTTTAGAGAACCACATACTGAATGGATTGAAACCAAACATGGCATGAATGTTCCTTATGAGGTGCTGACTAAGTTTTGTTACTATGAAGCCGATCCATAATCTAAGATGGCCGCCAGCAGAGGACTTAGTTTAACATAGGACCCTATGAGAAATACGTACAAATGTTTTCTTTTAGAGAACCATTGAATGGAATGAAACCAAACATGGCATGCATGTTCCTTTTGAGGTGCTGACCAAGTGTTGTTACTTTGAAGCTGATCCTTCATCCATGATGGCTGCCAGATGGGGACAATGTTTAACAAAGGACCCTATGGACAATACATACAAATGTCTTCTTTTAGAGAACCACATACTGAATGGATTGAAACCAAACATGGCATGAATGTTCCTTATGAGGTGCTGACCAAGTGTTGTTACTATGAAGCTGATCCATAATCCAAGATGGCCGCCAGCAGGGGACTTAGTTTAACATTGGACCCTATGGGAAATACATACAAATGTCTTCTTTTAGAGAACCATTGAATGGAATGAAACCAAACATGGCATGAATGTTCCTTATGAGGTGCTGACCAAGTGTTGTTACTATGAAGCCGATCCATAATCTAAGATGGCCGCCAGCAGAGGACTTAGTTTAACATAGGACCCTATGAGAAATACGTACAAATGTTTTCTTTTAGAGAACCATTGAATGGAATGAAACCAAACATGGCATGCATGTTCCTTTTGAGGTGCTGACCAAGTGTTGTTACTTTGAAGCTGATCCTTCATCCATGATGGCTGCCAGATGGGGACAATGTTTAACAAAGGACCCTATGGACAATACATACAAATGTCTTCTTTTAGAGAACCACATACTGAATGGATTGAAACCAAACATGGCATGAATGTTCCTTATGAGGTGCTGACTAAGTTTTGTTACTTTGAAGCTGATCCTTCATCCATGATGGCCGCCAATGGGGGGACTTCCTTTAACATAAGACCCTATGGGAAATACATACAAATGCTTCTTCTAGAGGTGCACTGAATGGAATGAAACCAAAACATGGCATAAATGTTTCTTATGAGGTGCTGATTAAGTGTTGCTACTTTGTTGCCAATTTACTGTTCAAGATGGCCACCAGGATTTTTTATTAAATTACAGGACCAATATTAAACCAAATTTGGCCTCACTCATTATTAGGGTATCTGTTATGATTTAAATCTATTTTTACATGATTTCCAAAACCAAAGTAGAATCAGGTGAGCGACACAGGCTCTTGAGAGCCTCTAGTTTTGTATGCAACCGGATGTGACGTACTATGGTTTGGTGGTATTTCACCTTATATGCAGGTGGGGGCATCATCTGTGTCCCATGGACACGTTCCCCTTTTTTTTTCTTCTAAAATGTAATTTTTTTATTTCAGGTCTGTGTAGTTGAGGATGTTTTTTATGTTCAGATGTGTATTCGGAATAGGCAGCTACCACAGTTGACAGAGGGAGAAATCCTGAGAACTATTCAAGTGTATAATGTATATAATGTTAACCTTACTGAAGAACAATTTTGTACGGTCATTATTATTGTTTTAAAAAACAATAGTAATACACTTCGTCCAGTCAGGACAAAAATAAAGCTTTTTAAACAGTCTTATTCATTTTATATTGCTATCTGAAAATTGTGGTTGAATTTATACTATACTTCCTGTTTTGCTAGTAACTTAAACAATGTCTATATCTTAAAACCAATTGTATAGACTCCTGTTGGTTATAAAGGTCTGTACATATTTATACCACTTTGGCTGACTCAGCTTTTGGTTCCGAGTATCCCTGAAGAAAACGAATCCAGAAATTTAAATTGAATGCATAAAATCTTACATCTGACTTTGATTTGATACTGTTGCTGGTTTTATAGTATTAAGTTTACAACAATAACAGTTACAACGAAATGTAGGCCAAGTTTGACTCTGATCAAGCATGAAATTTTAAAAGATATTCAAACATTGGAAAATCCATCAGGTATTTTAATATAGATGATAGCTTGAATGTGGTCATGAGATATATTGGGGACAGAAAAAATATAAGGAAGTTTCATTATCAAAAAATTTTGTCCTAAAATACAAAAGTCTTCTCTGTATAGTAATTTGGATGAATTAAAATGATAGTTAAAGAGTTTAATGTAAAACTTTGCATGTTAATTTCTAATAAAGATTTAGTGTTCATCTGAAGATAAAATATGAAAGTTCAAAAGACCTTAAAAAGCCATTACTTGTAAGATTACGGATTTATGGTGGAAGAAGACTTTAAAGTCTTCTGAAATCCTATACTGCCGGCTGTGAAATCATTGAACCGTCACCAGGAGTGTTGCCGTATCCCTGAAGAAAACGAATCCAGAAATTTAAATTGAATGCATAAAATCTTACATCTGACTTTGATTTGATACTGTTGCTGGTTTTATAGTATTAAGTTTACAACAATAACAGTTACAACGAAATGTAGGCCAAGTTTGACTCTGATCAAGCATGAAATTTTAAAAGATATTCAAACATTGGAAAATCCATCAGGTATTTTAATATAGATGATAGCTTGAATGTGGTCATGAGATATATTGGGGACAGAAAAAATATAAGGAAGTTTCATTATCAAAAAATTTTGTCCTAAAATACAAAAGTCTTCTCTGTATAGTAATTTGGATGAATTAAAATGATAGTTAAAGAGTTTAATGTAAAACTTTGCATGTTAATTTCTAATAAAGATTTAGTGTTCATCTGAAGATAAAATATGAAAGTTCAAAAGACCTTGAAAGCCATTACTTCCTTTCTGTGCTTTACAATTTCATAACTTCCGTGCCATATCTTGACACCGATGTTTACACATGATCGGTTTCAAGTTTGTAAAATAGCATCTGCATCATTTTATAAAACAAATGTACAGCTAGGCTTGAAAAAACAATCACTATCGTTAGTGTTATAATTTCTCGTGTTTTAATGTTTTAATATCTACCTTTTTATTTATGTTAATTATTAGATTTCATCTCATCTTACATGTACGTTATTTATTTACTTGTAACCAGATGCTTTTAAATGAGATTTGGTAGTACGCATGCGTTAATTTAATTATAATCCGAAACTAGCTCGAATGATCAGATGATTCAGCGCCCTCCATCCACTGCCGTTTCTCGTTGGAATAATCGGAACAAAACAACTGGATTATTCGGGTTAATCCAAACCATGTTGGTTACGTATCTGCGCATGTGCACAAATGGGAAATTTAATTATGCATCCGAAAGTTTCAAAATAATGATAAACAGAATTTTCATTAATTCATACAGAAATGCATCTTATTTTAATTTCAAGTATCTACATGGAGAGTACGACTTCACCTCAATGATGCTTGACAAAAATAGACGGATTTAGTTGTTCCGTCTGGTGCTTTACACTTCAAACAATGCACAGTCAGTTGACAGAAATATCAATGTACGAACTAATGTCAGTTGACGGAATCCATTTCGAAAGTACGTAGTTTTCATGTCAGTCATTGTCGGAATGTCCCCAATGCTTACCTTTATTGCCTGACGTTACGTTTCAAAGTTTTAAGTGATCAAAAACGGGATTTAACAAATAAATAGTCCAACTTTTTACCGTTATTCGTCATGAAGGTACCCCCATTACGACCCTCGAGTACGGAACCAGTAATTTGTTGCTGTCAATCGTATTATTTTTCATGAAACATTTCACAAAATGACCGTTTGACGCCTGACGGAAACGGGCATTCCTACCCTCGTACTTTCATTTTCTGTATGAGCTTTTCAAAATAAACTATAATTAACATTTTTGAGATACAAAAATGAATAAATGTTTCTAATTTTCTATCATGAAATACATATTTTTCAAATCAATACATTACTTTTGAATATTTTTGAATAAATGTAGTAATAATTACACTCTACTTAAATGTATTTATATTTTATATAAACAATACTAGGACAATACTCATATACAATACTTATACATTTTACATATACGAGTATTGTTGACAATACTGGTATACGAGTATTGTGGTCGCCAAGTTCAGTTGAAACGGGCATTCCTACCCTCGTACTTTCATTTTCTGTATAAGCTTTTCAAAATAAACTATAATTAACATTTTTGAGATACAAAAATGGATAAATGTTTATAATTTTCTATCATGAAATACATATTTTTCAAATCAATACATTACTTTTGAATATTTTTGAATAAATGCAGTAATAATTACACTCTACTTAATTGTATTTATATTTTATATAAACAATACTAGGACAATACTCGTATACAATACTTATATATTTTATATACGAGTATTGTGGTCGCCAAGTTCAGTTGATCCATCACTTATTTGCTGCTGTTAATCATATTTGTTTTTCATCTAAAACAAATCTGCATTGGATATAATTAGCATTTTTCAATATATGTTTATAATGAAAAAACAAGTAACTGTGAACAACTATAACAATTCATAATTAACTGATTGATGTTGGTGTTATACCCTACTTTAAGCACACTTGACTAAAATCAGGGTGGTCAGTTTTTATACGACCGCAAATAAATTTTTGTGGTCGTATATTGGTATGACGTTGGCGTCGTCGTCGTCGTCGTCGTCTGGCGTCGTCCGGCGTCGTCCGAAGACACATTGGTTTTCGCACTCTAACTTTAGTTTAAGTAAATGGATCTCTATGAAATTTTACCACAAGGTTCAATACCACAAAAGGAAGGTTGGGATTGATTTTGGGGGTTATGGTACCAACTGTAAAGGAATTAGGGGCCAAAAATAAGCATTTTTGTAACTTCCAGACATAACTTGTGTGTTAGTGTATGGATATCTCTGACATTGTACCACAAGGTTCCATATCACACAGGGAATGCTGGGATTGATCTTAGGGGTTATTGCCTCAAAATTTTAGGAATTAGGGGCCAAAAAAGGGGCAAAAAACAAGCATTTTTCTAGTTTCATGACAATAACTTGTGTGTAAGTGTTTGGATATTTCTGAAATTGTACTACAAGGTTCCATATCACAAAGGGAAAGCTGGAATTGAGTTTGGGGGTAATTGCCCGAAACGTTTAGGAATTGGGGGGGCCAAAAAGGGGCAAAAAAACACATTTTTATAGTTTCCAGACAATAACTTGTGTTCAAGTGTATGGATCTCTCTGAAATGGTACTGCAAGGTACCATACCACAAAGGGAAGGCTTGGATTGAGTTTTGGGGTGATGAATCATAAGGGGGTTCAAAAAATTTGGGGGGGGGGGGGGGATATTTTTTTTTTCTTTTAAAATTTTCCATTTTAAGTTGGTTATTTCTGATTTATATTTAAAAGCAAATAATAATGATATGGTAGGAGATACACACCAAACAGGATGTGTAAATTATTATATAATAAGTATTGTGCAATAGCAAGAAATTTTCAATTGCACAGTATTGCACAATAGCAAGAAATCTTCAATTGCACAGTATTGCGCAATAGCAAGAAATCTTCAATTGCACAGTATTGAGCAATAGCAAAAAATATCCAATAGCACAATATTGTGCAATAGCAAGAAATTGTCAATTGTGCAGTATTGCGCAATAGCAAGAAATATTCAATTGCACAGTATTGTGCAAAAGAAGATACTTTGTATAAATTGCTTATTTCTTGACCAATTTCAATGGGGTTTTATTCTTGAATTCTTGGGGTTCTTTAATATGCTGAATCATACCGTGAATTAAGTTTTTGGATTTTGGGCCCCGTTTTTAAATTGGTCCACATTGAGGTCCAAAGGGTCCAAAATTAAACTTTGTTTGATTTCATCAAAAATTGAATTATTGGGGTTCTTTGATATGCCGAATCTAACCGTGTATTTAGATTCTTAATTTTTGGTTCCGTTTTCAAATTGGTCTACATTAAGGTCCAAAGGGTCCAAAATTAAACTAAGTTTGATTTTAACAAAAATTGAATTCTTAGGGTTCTTTGATATGCTGAATCTAAACATGTATTTAGATTTTTGATTATGGGCCCAGTTTTCAAGTTGGTCCAAATCGGGGTCCAAAATTAAACTTTGTTTGATTTCAACAAAAATTGAATATATGGGGTTCTTTGATTTGCTGAATCTAACCATGTATTTAGATTTTTGATTTTTGGGCCCCGTTATCAACTTTGTCCACATTGAGGTCAAAAGGGTCCAAAATTAAACTTTGTTTGATTTCATCAAAAATTGAATTCTTGGGGTTCTTTGATATGCTGAATCTAACCATATATTTAGATTTTGGATATTGGACCATAATAGGTGAATGTCCAATTTAAAATTTTTAAGTTCTTAGACCACATTCATTCTGTGTCAGAAACCTATGCTGTGTCAAATATTTAATCACAATCCAAATGCAAAGCTGTATCAAGCTTGAATGTTGTGTCCATACTTGCCCCAACTGTTCAGGGTTCGACCTCTGCGGTCGTATCAAGCTGCGCCCTGCGGAGCATTTTATTTTTTATAGGAAGGAGTTCGGAATACCCAAAGTGAACTATCTACCTTTGACAGAAAAAACTTCCAAGTGAAACCTAATCAATTACTGGTATAATTGCTTGCATCAAGTTGACCATGTTGAGACAAATGTATGGAATTATAGAAAATTTAATTTTAAT